CAATCATTCGCTCCTACTTTTCTGAGACTTGCAAGTGCTTATCCAGGTATCTGCAATGGTACAGCATTTTTTTTTTCTGTCCCTTGTTAGAAAAAAAACCCTAGAGTCCATAGTCATAACAACAGTAGCAATGACAGGAAACAAAAACATAAATGACACAGAATTCATAGAAGGTAAGAGTAAGATATAGGTCAGTCCAAAAGTTATTAATGACCTGGACTAGGTGGGAATTGGAAGTGTGGAATTTGAAGTGAATGATCAAATTCATACTCCAGAAAAATGCAAATGAAAACCACGGTGAGCTATCATTTTTCATAGTCTGGATTGGCAGAAATCCGAGTTTGACAACAGCCCTGTTGACAGGTCAGAAAAGAAACAGGTGGTGCCGGATGCCTTGCAGGATGGTGCTCACCAGTGACACGCCGGGAAGCCAACCAAGCAGATCTAACAGAATCACAGTCATTTGCCCTTTGGCCAGGAAATCTTGCTTTTTGTGCCCTCTGGTGAAGTCACATGACCAGAGTACAAAATAATTTATGTATGAACATGCTACGGTGGTTTTTTTTAATAATAATAAAAAAAGATTAGAAACAAAGCTTTTTTAGTTTTAAAACGAAACATGGTTTTGAAAACTAGGTAGGCATTATTTATTTCTCACATTGGTTTTCAAAACCAGAGGGAATCATTATTACTCCAACAACCTACTGACAAATTATACACAGCAGATCAAGAAATATATATGCCAGGTAAGGTTTATCTGAGAACAATTGTCTTTGCCCAAGATTCATCTACATGACACACAGTAATTAGAAGTACCAGACTGGTGGAACTAACCTTCTTGGATGTTTAACAGACATACTTTGAGGCCTACACTAATTTGGTCAGAGGGACATAAAGGACACTTTTTGCTCCTTGCCCTCCTAGGTCGACTAGTTCTAGGGGACTATGAGCATCTCTCAAAATGTCCTGTAACTGTAGTGGATCACCTGTCCTCTTGATCAAGGAGGCTGAGGAGACCCCATGAGATGGACTTGAACCAGTGTCTAGTCTACAAAGAGGAGGGTCAACACAGAGGAATTATTTCCTCCGTGCTCCCAAGCGAAGCCAGCTGTGGTTGAGCAGGACCTTTGACTTATCTTCACATAGGCAGAACTGGTAAAAGAAAGGAACCAGGGGCTCCTCCCAAGCCCATGTGACCCCCGAGGAAAAGATCCTCAAACGACCTTAAGAGTAAAGATAAATTCATTTATCTGGGCCAACTGTATGGCCTTAAACACCCCAAAGGAAAAGGACAGTATAACAACAACAAAAAAAAAGATACATGGGATGAATTGTGCTATAAAATTGCAGCAAGCCATCCTGTAAAGGACTGAGAAGATACTGAATATGGCGATTTATTTCCAGAATTTAATAAGGGGAAAATGCAGTAGCAAAGTCATGCGTATACTTTGTAGCCTTATTTTAAAAAGAGGAGTGGGTGTACATATGTGCATATGCTGTATAAGGGTATGCATTATATCCACATATGTGCAAATGTATATGCAGAAGGCAGAGACAGAACAGAGGAGAACTTTGAATTTTCCTAGTGTCCCTTTACATCATTTCCTAGTCATAACAACTAACTTACCCTTTTATCCTCACAACCCACAGTTCACAGGTGTCCAGCACACTGAAAATGTGCACTGGAGCCTATTTGCAGCACAAACTCAATCTCTTCAGTGTTTTAAATAGTATTAAAATTTCTACCAGGAAAGGAGGATTTGCATTTTAGTAGACTGAGCAAGCAACTCTTACACACACTAAGAATGAAGATAAATTGTTAATAGTAAAGAATTACTACTATACAGCATTCTGGATCAGAGGATATAGTCAGAATTTTGAAGAAGAATACTAGCTTGGTGGTTGGGTGAAGTTAGGAAACGATTACTTCAGTAAGAGGAAGGGCAGGTGTGACTCAGGGGGCCAAGTGCTCGTAGAAACAATCACAGCCATCAAGTTCATTTTAATTAAACGTGATCTTTCTTTTCTCTCTCTTCTTTTAGTAGGGATTTCAGTAGAATCAGTTGAGTCAAGTGTAGCACTAGGAAGAACCCCTAGGCTGCCAGGGGGTGAGTCTGCTTTGGGATTCAGTCTCCAGTAAATGGCCAACTAATCATAGAAGTCTGTTCATTCAAGTCAGTTGCATTGATCAGAGCCAAAGCTACTGAAATATTTGAAAAAAAAAAAAAGCATGCATGATGGGCCTCTCAAAGACCGTTTACTATTCTCAGGGTCCCCAGAAATTTTAGAAGTTGATATAATCCCAGCTGTTTTGTATGCTGTCCAGGTACAACAGGCCATCTGTGGGAGCTACTTCAGGAGCAGGCAGAGGAAGTACAGATAGAGCAGCAGGCTCTGGGGCCACCAGCCTGGAAAACCCAGCCGTAAGGCAAAGCACACCAATGAATAATCAAACACAGAGGCCCCAGATAGTTAAAAGTCTAAGTGAGTGCCTTTAAGGGACTGAATTAAAAGAGAAGTAATTGAGGTGAACTCTCAAAATGGTAAAGTTAGTATTTTAGTTTTATTATGAATATTTGCAGAGAGCATTTGCAGTATAGCAACCATTTACATGTAGAACCTCATTGGTTTCAAATCGGATCCAACTAGAAGTTTAGAGCTGACGACCACTTTAGCTTCAGTGAAGTAGTGGTAGAAACACCATTTACATTTAAAATCATGTCTAGCCAGTGGAAACTTGAGCTCTCAGATCAAAATTTGCTTTAACGAGGAGTTGGCATTAATTCAGTCACAGGTCCAAACTCGATTAAGTGAAGTGTGATAGCCAAAAGAAGCTCAAATGAAAATGACTCATGTTCCTGAAGTTCTTCTTATTTGCTCTAATTGGAGGTACCACAGTTGTAACTTCTACAGGAGTGGAGAGCAGAAACCCAGCTTTCCCTTCAGGTATGAGAAACAGTATCTGGACCCAGTAGTAACGCTGACCAGGTCGATGTGGCGTCCCACAAAGCCAGCATGTGGCTCCTGACCTTCCTTCCTGTCTCCTCCCAGCTTCCACAGCACATGTCCCAGGCTCAACAGTAGCACTAGAAAAGACCCTGTTGGTGAATAAGCAGGGGGTGTCAGATATAGTTTTGACACATTTTCATACTCGGTGACTAGTTTAAAAAATGGTAAAATAATTATTTGCATAAAGACATTGTCTCATTTAATTATTAGAATGATTATTGTTTTCTCACAATGCTCATGGGAAACTTAGCCAAAGACTAATCGAACCTGATCTAGCTATTGTAGGAAGTCAGATGGTGAAACCAATATTTTTACCTCTCTGTTCTGACTCCAAAGACTGGTTCTCAGTTGATACTGCACTCCTCTGAAGAAAAGCACGCAGTGTTCTTTAATAACCCATCAGTGCTTGCTTTGAAAGGTGCAAAGCTAAGTGTTGCCCATTTATAAGTATGCGCGCTGCAGGAAATGAGATCCAGCATTGTAACAAAGGGTACCATTTGCTGTTCTGAAACAACTTTCAGAGGGTTTTATTTGACAAAATTTTAAACTACTGTTTGATTAATCAACATTTTATAACTTTCTTTTATACATTATTCCAACTTGAGGTAGAATTCACAAATATCCCTACGGCAGTTTATTTTTCCTAATGCTAAATCAACTAATTCTTTTTCAAAGATACAATGCATCATTTAAGTATCTAAAGTAGCAATATACTTGGTATCGTAGTGTCTGAGAAAAAATTCAGTGGTGGCCTAAGGAGATGCCTCAGTTGGTAAAAGCATTTTCCGTATTAAGTTTGATGACCTGAGTTCAATTGCTGGAACCCACAGAAACATGGAAAGAGAAAAATGACAAATGAAGTCATCCTCTAACCTCGACATGCACACACACCACCCCCAACAGCATGGACACACAGAAATACAGTAATTCATACACATGAAAGAATAATAATAATAATAATAATATCACTCAATTTTCAGAGTTTTGAGCAGAATATAGGCTTTGGGGGAAAGGACTTAAAGAATACATTTTAAAAACAGATTCCTAAGCTCTAAGATGCCATGGTTCTAAGTAACTATTGGGGCATAGTGGGTTTTTTTATTTTTTAAGACACGCTTAGTGTTATCTAACTTCTTAATCTTTAAACAGCCACAAATAAGAATAAATATTGACTTGGAAGAAAGGCAATGACTTATTTTCAGTTTGCTAATTTGTAATATGATTTCTTAGAGGAAAAGGTTACCTCCCGAAGATATTTCATTCTGATTTTCTCTTTATTAGGACCATTTGTCACAATTCCAGTCATATTTATTGCATGTAAGTTGAAATTAAGCCAGCACAAAAATATGTTTCTACAGAGTATGTATCATCATAGCATTTTTATCTTTTCCATTTGAATATTGAACAAAATATTTGCTCTTTCGGTGGGGGGGGGTCAGAATTAAGGTGATCCTAAGTTCAAGACCTGAATGGGTGATGTAACAATAGTGTATCTCAAAAAATCAAGTAAAATAGAAGGCTGAGGTTATGACTCACTGAGAGTGCCTGACTGGCATCCACAAGGCCCTGGGTCAAATTTCCAGTAGCATACACACGCACACATATACACATGCACACACGCACGCACGCACGCATGCACGCTCACACACGTAGTACCTAAAAGAATATGACAGTCATCCAAAATTATAATCTAATACATAAATTAATCATTATAAATTAATGTATATACTTACATTGTGTTTGTTTTTTATTTTAGTGCCATCACAACAGCCTAAAGTAACAGGTAAGAAAATAGGAGATTATAAATGTGCACTTGGAAAGCAGTGGCGTTGTCTTACCAGGAATAAGAAACACTGCAAAAGAAATGGCTATCAGGTTAAAGTCTTCATCAGAGACTTCGAATTAGATTTTGATATCATAGAGTTCTGTCTTCTGTCTTCCATCTACTTAACTGATCATAAAGGTCGATTCCTTTATGTGACATATTTTACAGCAATGGTACAAGTGTTCAGACGAACCAAAGCAACACAAAATCTCTCTTTTACTAATAGAAAGTGGTGCACATGCATGTCGTCACCTACAATTTACATGAAAATTGTTTAGCTTTTCTTGCATCTTAATATCTTTGGAACTAAACAGTATTAAAAGGCAAGCTTTCTCGTTTTTCCTAGTTGATACTTCTGTATTTCACATCTATATTAGACTATAAGCTTGCTTATATTATAGAATATAACCATCTTTATTGCAATTTTTTTCTATTATGATCCCTATCTGATGAAGTGTTTGGATTTCTTTGTTTGGCTTTTTGTAATGTTCAGCACTGAATTTGTTTTGTTTTGTTTTGGTTTTCTGGGGATTTGGGAGTCAGGGTCTCACTATGTATCCCTGGCTACCTTGGGACGCATTCTTTAGACCCAGCTGCATGGGAACTCTGAGAGACCCACCTGCGTTTGTCCCCCTTCTCCTGGGACTAAAGACACGTGCTGTCATGTCCAGCTTCAATGCTCATGCACTTGACTGATTGGATTTCAGTTTGGTGGAAAGTGGGCCCTGCTGCATGTACCTTTGACAGCCCCCAGGGTCTTGCATGCAGCCAGTCTGGGCTGCAGCCAGTACCTCATTGATTAATGTTATTTATCTAATTGTTTGGTGAAGCAACCGAAGTTTGAACCTTGTCATCTGTTTAAAACCAGACAAGTCTTATTGATTTAAAAGCCTGAATTCTCTCCCCTCAGCTATTTTCTGTCGTAGGAGTTACTATCCTTCCACCTAGAGGAACCTTTATTCTGGACTATTGTAGGCAAATTCCGTCTCTTCAGTTTTCTCTGTTCTCAGACATGTTTTATACAAACTGCGGCCGATGGTTCCATATTATTGTCTCTGTCTGTGTAAAGGTCTGCCATCCGTGCACTGCAGCAATCACTCACACACTGTCAGTACGTTCCCTTAGCCCTGAATGTGAGTCATCATGTCCTCCGCACACCCCTGCCAGGTTCACCCTCTCTGAGCTCCTTGTGAGTATTATTATAAATCTCCACTCTAAGGAATCCTTTGGGGGCTGAGGATGTGGTTCAGTTGGTGGAGTGTCGACTTAGCACGCACATTAACACTAGGAAGTTATTTTCTCATTTAATTCAAACTATATTTCCAGCGATTTTTAAATCCACTCTGTTTATATGCTCTATGTTTCCTTAGAACTGCATTCTGCCTATCTTGTCTTCTGCTTTCTGTGCCCCTTCCTGGATTTCAAATAGGCACATCCTAAAGAATGATAAAGACTCAAATCAGATGCTCTTTCTTCCAAGAATCCTCTTTCATCCCACTAAGGAGGAGTGAGGCTTTTCAGTTGCCCGTGTCTCAGGTACTGAGCATGTGCAAAGCTGTTGTTAATACCAGAGCACTAAGCCACTGAGAGTCGACCAGGTAGCTGTGACCCATCATGCATCGTTACATCACCTGTCATCGTTGTGAGGGAATGCTAGCAAAGGATTTCTCAAGTGCTTGTCTAGCATGCGTAACGCCTTGGGATCAACCCCAAGAACCTCATCAAACAAACAAACAAATCAACAAACAAAGTCTGTCATCTAGCTCCTAAGAAGCGCAGACAGAAAGGCCAGAAGCTCAGGGAGTTCAAGTCCAGCCTGGGGTACATGACACCCTGCCTAAAAACAACAGCAGCAGTAAACATCAAAAGCTTACTTGTTATATCCAAGGGGCATCTGTGCTAAGACATCTAGTTGGAGGTCCTGTCATGGCACAGTCAGTCACTAAAGGAACCCCTGGACTTTTTCAGATTTGGGTACCTCTGGGGTCTTTACCACTGGCACAACTCTTGCCCCTGGCAGCTTCAACACAGGTGAGAACATGCTGTGTGGAATGTTTCCTTGGGGACTGAAGGAAGTTTCCTCAGGTTTTTTTTCTACCCTAGGTCACCCCTATACTCATCCAAATTCTTCAGGTTCTCCCAACTGTGCACTGTTTCTCCTTTGGCTCAGAGGCCACAAATTCCCTAGGAAGAAGACAGAATAAACTCAGCTGAGCCTGCTGACCCATGAGCTGTCCTTTCTGCTCATCTGCCAATAAATAGTGTTCCCTAAAATGTAGCCAGGCTATTTTATTCCCGTACATTGAATATTTTTATCAGTGAAAATCAGTTGCTAGATGACTGACAAGATTTAGGACCCTGAAACTCTGTTCTACTCCTAGTAATTCATGAATGGCACCAAGGTGGGAAGTCACCGGCAGTCAAGATAAATGGGCACTGCAGCAAGGAACAGTCTTAGATGAATTCAGAGTTTATATGAACAACATAAACAAAATGGAAACAAATTAGGAAAATCACAATCAATCCAACAGCATTTTAAAAACTAAAATAGGTCTGAGAAATGCAAAACTATCAGGTGTAGCTTAACGAGCCAGCCGTTTGTTACAGTATTAGTTAGTTTACTACTTGCAGCCTAGTCAGTTAATTAGTTACAGGGAGTTCTACAACCAGCTCAATTATTGGGACCAAACTCTACACTGGTTTACGCTCTTGGTCGAGCAGATTCTCAGTCCAAAGCCACAGCCTCCTGTGGAACGTTATTTAACGGTTCTGAAAGAAGTTCTGCTACCTGCCACAGAACTTCAAGTACAGACATTTAAGAGTCTGGAACTTTGTCAGGAAGTATGCATTGGAAAGTCGGCGGATTGACTGTCGATATTAGAAAGTTTCCCGATGCGGCGAGAAACGCAGACTTTTAAATAGACAATCTTCGGTGTTTCTCTTGCTTTATTGTTTGGTGCTGCAGCAAAGCAGGGAAGACAAGAAGGCTAAGAAAATACTTTCTTAGGGAACAAAACATACAAGCCCAAGCCCACTTGTTAACACCCCTGGATTTGCCTGTAGTCAGCTTCTCTGTCAAGTGTCCCTGTGTCCTTGCTCACTGAAGTCAGGGATGAGTGGGGAACAGTTTGAAACTCACGAGACTTCTTTTCAGAGGCACCACCATTCCTCTGGAAGCCAGTAGCAGTTCAGAAGTTTCCAACATAGGTACTCTCACATACTTGAAATGCAAGCCAGTTTTTATTCTCATAGGTGTGTCTGGGACTTGTGTGTCTCTGTGCATGCTTCAAGGGCGTCATGACAAACAACCATGAAAGTTCTGCAGGAATGTTTTGAGTGCCCTCTGTGCTATCAGAAGGTGCCACCGTGGTTTCCCTTGGGGTCAGCAGTAGCTCACAGGACCCCAGTCCAGGTAGGATGGCAGATTGTCAGGGGAAGGCACACCTGCCTCCTAGGAGCTTCTCAAACACTCCATCATCACAGAGTGCCAAGTGTACAAGTAAGAACATCTGGACTTCTTTCCTTCCTGCTGGAGTACCAGGAGGCCAAGTCCCTGGAAGTGAAGGATGAAAAATAGAACTGAGCTCCCCTCTGTTTTTGAACAGGGTACAGTGGAAGGAAAAAAGTCTGTCACAAAACAGTCAATAAATTGGCCGAAGGGAGAGGGGCTCGTTCATAGTCCATTTCTTTCTAGAACAGAAATCCTCAGGAAAAACATCTTCCAGCGTTCAGGACCCCATCTCTGTTTCCAGGATTGTTTCCTCTCCTAGCTCCTTCACTGTTCTCATTTTAGGTTCTTCTAGTGAGGTCTCTGGGACAGCCACCAAATCCCAAGGTTCCAACACCGGTGTTTGAATACGCATCTCAAATGCATAGCTTGCATAGATCTGCAGGGCCAAAGCGAGAGTGTCTTTTACCACCATCTCCAACGCCCCCGACCGCATGCTTTTCTTGTTTCTCTTTTCTCAGAGGCCACAGCTTTCACAGAAAGCAGGGGCAGTGCTGGGACCGAGTACCTGACAGGTGGGAATGACTGCGAGCGGTGGCTCTCATTACAGTGACCCCCTTGGCAGTCCTGTTTCCTGAAGAACAGAGTGTGGTTCTTCAGAGACTCTGTATCTTATTCCAGACACATTTTCTTTGACATTAAAAAAAAATTTTTTTTTTTGGTCTTCTTGAGACAGGGTCTCCCTGTAGCCCCAGTTAGCCTGGAGCTCACTATATAGACCACACTGGCCTTGAATTCACAGAGATCTGCCTGCTTCTGCTTCCTGAGTACTGGGATTAAAGGCATGTGCTACCACACCCAGCTACATTTAAATTTTTAAAGAATGTACCAATAGCTTCTTCTGAAATAGAACAGCTAATTGTTCTGAGGAACTTTCCCAGTGCAGACAAGTGATACTAATGTATCCTGGGGGTCTAAAAATGGCTTGATTGGGAAGTAGAAATAACAGACATGTCTTAGAACCACGCCTATACCAAGGTCTCTATGCTCCAAAGCAGTATTAATGATTAGTATTTTCTTGATGTCTAAAATTTGCAGCAAACCTCTTTGTCTTCTACTTCTGGGCAGTAAAACAAGTGAAGGTAGAGAGAGCCACCTGCCCCCTTCTCCTGGCATGTTAGGACTAATTGCCTCAAGGCGAGAAACTGATCCAAAAGCCCTGAAGGCTTTTGTAATGTGACAATCAGTAGGAAAACACACCATCAGGGCTGGAGCCAGAGACCAGCAAAAGTCATTGTGGTGATTGGAGCCCCTTCTGTGTGTCAGCTACCACTAGGCTTGTCCCTGGCACAGCTGCTGCTCCACACAGCTCTGTCAAGGGTGAGTGAAGACAGTGACGTGAGTCTTCTGGTCCTCTGATTACTAGGAGGCTCCTCTCATTATCATAGGATGTTTCCTGTCATCCTTAAATATTCTCCAGCAAACCAAACCTTCTTATGTTCCCTTAGAGCTCACAACTTTCCTAGGAGTCAGTGGAACAGTAAGAGGTGAGGCAGCCATGAGTTAGGGTTACAGGGCTGACATCTTCCCTCCTTTAACTCCCTCAGATCTTCCAAAGGCATATTCTTTTTTTAATATTTTATTTATTGTTTTTTATTTTATGTGTATACGTGTATTGCCTGCATGTAGGTAAGTGCACCCGTGTCGTGCAATGCCCAAGGAGGTCAGAAGAGGCTGTCGGATCCCCTGGGACTGGAGTTAAGACAGTTGTTAGCGGCCATGTGGGTGCTCGTATTTGAACCCGGGTCTTCTGCAAGAACAATCAGTGTTCTTAACCGCTGAGCCATCTCTCCAGCCCCCCAAAATATATTCTTTATTGATAAAACTAAGGGGGGAAAGGCAAAACAGTTACTATACTGCCTCTGTCTTAGTTTGTTCTTCATTGCTGTGACAAAACACTCTGACCAGTACCAACTTGGGGAGGAAAGGGTTTATTTGTCTTACATCTCCCAGGTCACATCAGTTCATCAGGGAGCCCAAGGTAGGAACTCAGGGTAGGAACCTGGAGGCAGGAGCTGGAGCACAGGCCATGGAGGAACACTGCTTACAGGCTTGCTCTCTTTGGCCCCTGCTCAGCCTGTTTTCTTATGCAACACAGGCCCACCTGCCCAGGGGTGGCACCACCCACAGTGGGCTGGGCCCTCCCACATCACTCATCAAGAAGATGCCCTTCAGACATGGCCACAGGCCATTTCCCGATTGAGGTTCCCTCAACCCAGGTGTGTCAAGTTGACACTAAAGCTATCCAGCACAGCCTCCTTTACTTTCTGTGCTCACAGTGGCTTTTGCCAGACAGTCAAGAATTTGAACTAATGACAAGTAGGTGATACAGAAGAAATTTCCCACTCCCGGCTTCAAAGAAAAGGGCATGGTGGTGAGAACCTCCTCAGTAGACTTGGTGTCAAAATGTAACATGGGACAAATCCAGGTTACTTCTAGCTCGTTGGCGCGGCGCTGGCTTCCAGAACTGTGATCCCCAGCTGAATCAAGTGTCAGAGGAGTCACTGAACTCATCGCTTTCTTGTTTTAGGCACCATTGGTGGAGTCTCTGGGGAAACTTCAGAACCGGGAAGACCAAACACAGGTAAGTATGAAAATATACGCCAAGTGTGGACCTTAGGCTCAGTGTTAAAACGCACAGCGGCACCGTCCGCACTTTCTCACGCCTACTCTCCGCTCCTTCCTTTTGGCTTTCAGGGGCCCCAGCTTCCTCTGAAGAAAGAGGGTCCGCCCACACGGAACTTCCGGCAGGTGAGCGATGAGTCTTTGAAGTTGGGGTTTTTATGAAGCCCTTCTCCGGATGGTAAACACCAGTAAGAGGTGGGCAGAGGAAAGGAATGGCATTCCCCCTGGGGACGCAATCTGCAGGTCTACTCAGGAATTCCATGGCCGCCAAGGATTTGTAGGGACTCTGGCTTGCAGGGATGGGAGCATCCTGTTGACCAACTTCTGTATCAGGACCTTTGTATACAATGTAGGGTTTTTTCTTTTTTCCCCAAAAGTGCATACTAGCATCTAATACACAGGTCTTAATGTTACTGTTCTCTGTTGGAGTGTGAGCTGCTCCAGGGGTGAGATCCTTGAGTAGTCTGTTTGTTAGTACAGCCCAAGGGTGGACAATTAAATCACAGAGGACATGCTTAAACATATTAGTAGAGTAGGGAAATGTATTGTGTTGAATCTTTTCCCTTATACAGTAGGCACCATCGTGGTTCACAAGGAACCAGCTGCAGCTGGTTCTAAGATAGGTGAGAGGGATTAAATATCATTCGAGAGTTTCAGACTGAAAGAATTCTACTTTAAACATCTGAATATCAAAATACTTTCAAGTAAGTGATGAGTACAATTTATGAAGATTAGCCTGTCATCTGTTTTCTCTGTAGGGACCTCTGTCATATCAGGGAGCTCAGTTTCACCAGGTGAGGGGGTCAGATCCTTCACATTCAGTGGGTTCTACCCCAGCAGTTCATGGAGCAGAGAAAGAAATGAGATGGGTCATTCCTTCAGAGGCAGTGGCTGTAGGGAAAGTCCTCCACTGGTTCAAGGCACATAGCCTTCCCAGTACTATTGGGAAGCTAATGCTCGTTAACCCCCAGGCAGGCAACCACTGAATCTGGAAGTTCCCACACAAATAAGTTAAAAAGAAAGATCATGTTTATTTAAGCTCTCAGTATAAATCAGAGTGCCTGCTCTGATGACGTATCAACACAGTTCTTATAGCAATTCCTCAAACTTCACTTTTGCTTATTTCCTTCCTCAGAGGCCAGGACTTCAACACAGCTCAGTGGCTCCCCTGGAAGCTGGCCCCCAGCAGGTGAGCCAAGCAGCTCAGTGTGGGCCTTAGTAGGACTCTGACTCCGGCAGCCTTGCTTGTTAGGAGGCATGTTTTCTTGAAGAGTAATTTGTGGTTACCTTGGTCTTTTCTTAACAACTGAATGTATTCTGGAAAAGTCCTTACTACCAGTATCTGACCTCACAG